CGGACGCAAGCGGTCCCCTGATCCTCCTCCTCCCTTTTCTCCTCCTCCTCCTCCTCCTCCTTTTCCTTGTGGAAAGCCAAAGTACGAACAGAGTGGGATGCCAATGCCCTTTTCACAAAGTGCAAGTTCAAAAGTTGCTAGAATCCTGAAGTCTGGAAAAGTTTGGAGAGAAAATTCGGCGGTGAATAAGTTCCAACTATTTGAAGAGCGCGCGCAATATGGGGCGCTTCCCGTAACGAGAGTATATTATTATAGGTTATAGGAGCCTAGGTAGAGGGGTGATTCCAATATCGTTAACGCGTGTTGGGTGTGCACTGGTCCTCTTCCTCCTCCTCCTCCTCCTCCTCTTCCTCTTCCTCCTACTCAGCATCGTCATCTTCATCATGATTCGAGCTTCGAGCTTGTGGTGTTATCCTCCTCCTCCTCCTCCTCCTCTTCCACTCGCGGCGGCGGGGCAGTTACTGCTCTGCTGGGTACCGTATCCTGGTGTTCGGCCCTACGGCGCGGGGACATTGACAATGCCATTTGCGCTTCGCGGATTGGTGTCAGCATGTTGGCTCGTGTTTTGGGACCCGCACCGCGGCATTTTACCGGGGGCCGTGGCTTTCAGCTACGCCCGTGGCGTGGGGTCACTCTAAGCTTCCAGGCGCGGTGATCGTGCATTTTATGGAGTTGCGGCGCCGTGGGTCCCATCAGTCCCATGGGGCCTTCGTGCCTCATCGCCCTGGGGTAACAACCCAGTAGCACGTGCCATATGTTTCGGCAGGGGCTGATAGTCGGGAAGGACCTCACTGAGGAGTTGAGCCGACCGTCCCCCTTTTACGCACCACCGCCATCACGTTTGAGTAGCGGGTCACGGAGCAACATGGCGTTTACTTGTACGCCGACCGTGTGGCGTGAGCTCTTCGCCGATGGGCGAGCGGCATCCCTTGTACGCGAGAAAGGAGGTCTCCCCGCGTGGGGGTGGAGGGCGGTCCGTTTTGCGATGAGGCAGCACTCTCGTGCCAGGCTGTCCTCTCGCGCAGGTTCGCTTCTCGATTCACGATCCCTGGCTCAAGGACTCCTCCTCCGCCCCTCTCCCTCTGTCAACCTTATTTCACCTCCCCCCTGTCTTTTGTCTTTTTCAAGACCTTCCTCATTTTCATTATACTCGTCGTCGTCGTCACCCTCATCCTCCTCCTCGGATTCCCTCTCCTCTTCCTCCTCCTCCTCTTCCTCCTCCTCTTCCTGAGGCAATGGGGCACTGACGGCTGCAAGGTCGTTCAGACGTTGCCATCCCTCTTTGTTTTTCCTTATGAATATTCCTCCCTGTCACCCTGAGGTCGGTCGGAGTGGCGGGCAAGGCGTGTCGCTCGAAACTTCCTGACCACGTTTGAGCCTGAAGCTTAGAAATTGGTAACAGCTTCACAGATGGAGAGCGGGTGGTTTTCAAAATGTGGTTTTCGCCTGAGCTCTGCGCGCGTTCGTTTTACATCGTCGCAGAAGATTCATTCATTGAGGGGGGCAGGTTTCAAACGGTGGCCGCGCCGCGTACATTCGTCCTAAACCTTGCAAGAGATTCACGGAGTGAGGGCGGGTGGTTTTTTAAATGTTATTCTCGCCGCAGCGCCGCGCACATCCGTTTGAGCAAATCGCAACCGTTTCACGGATTGAGGGCAGGTCGTTTTCAGAATATGATTATCGCCGTGGTGCCGCGCACATTCGAATAAACAGTGCAAGAGTTTCACAAATTAAGGGCGGGTGGTTTTGGAAGTGTGCCGCCTCAGCGCCGCGCGCACGGGTTTAAAATATTGTACGGGTTGAAGGCGGGTCGTTGTCAAAATGTGGTTTTCGCCTTAGCGCCGCGCGCATTCACTAAACATCGCCAGTGTCGCGGATTATCATGGCTGTGTGTTCGAACGATTCCAGATTGTCAGGACGCAAAAGTTATGCGTTCTGGCACGATTCATGTCGGATCGTCAAGACGAAAGAATCAGGTTGCTTCGTGGGGATGAAGACTTGAGAACGATGTTTGGCCGAATTTTCCGAATTTTCACACGGTTGTCTCCCACCAGGGCATTTTTTCCACTGGAAGTGAATGTGTACGGGGCCTTGAAGAGGGAGCGTCGGGCGCGCGGAGAAGACCCGCGTCCGCCGCGCCTCTTCCTCTTCCTCCTCCTCCTCCTCCTCGTCCTCCTCCTCCTCCTCCTCCTCTTCCTCCTCCTCCTTTTCCTCCTCCTCCTCGTCATTCTCCCCCTCCTCCTGCTACTCCGACTCCTACTCCTCCTGCTACTCCGACTCCTACTCCTTCTCCTACTCCTCCCCCGTGCTCCTCTTCCTCTTCACCCTCCCTCACATCCTTCTCCACGTCCGGGGGCTGCCCCCGACCAGGAGGCCCAGCTGCAGGTGAGCTCCGCCCAGCGGGGCGTCCCGCGGAGCTGGCCGGCCGGCGCGGGGCAGCGCGCGGGGCACGGCGTCGTTCCAGAGCTCTCGGGGGCGCTTGGAGGGCCACCGTCGGCAGCGACGACGACGACGATAAGACGACGACGACGACGGTACGACGACGTCGATACGACGATGACGACGATGATGATGTTTGTGATCATGTTAGTAATGATATTGGTGTTGTGATGGTGATGATGGTGATGATGATGATGATGATGATGATGATGATGATGATGATGATGATGATGATGATGATGATGATGCTGATGATGATGATGATGATGATGATGATGATGATGATGATGATGATGATGATGATGATGATGACGACGACGACGACGATGATGATGATGATGATGATGATGATGATGATGATGATGATGATGATGATGATGATGATGATGATGATGACGGCGACGATGATGATGATGATGATGATGACGATGATGTTTACGACGATGATGCTGATGATGATGATACTGATACTGATGATGATGATGATGATGATGATGATGAGTGGTGATGATGATGATGATCGTAATCATGATTATGGTGATGATTCTGATCAACATCATCATCAGCACCATGACGATGGCGAGTTTGGTGATGATGATGACGATGTTTGGCATGATGATGATGGTGGTGATGATGATGAGGATGGTGTTGGTAGTGGTGATGATGTTGGTGATGATGACTTTGATGACGATGATGTGTATGCTGATGATGGTGATGATGGTGGTGGTGGCGATAATAATCATGGTTGTGATGATGGTGGTGATGACGAAGACGATGACAGTGACGACAATGATGATGACGACGATGGTGCGATATTGTTGAAGAGGAGGAAGAAGAGGACGAAGACCTCTTCTCCCTCCCCTTCCCTTTCCAGGGCCCATTTCGATACGAACGATCCGGTTTATGGCTGCCTACTAGATGCGCGTGGTTTTCGAAATTAGCATGTGTTTCGCGCCGCCCCCCTGCATTTTGTTATTGGAATCCGCGCCTACACCTGCATATTATTGCAAATCGACAGTCAAGAATAATTTGCCGTTATCATGATACCGTTCAGCTCTGCCTCTGCGATTGGCGGCAGAACGGATTCGGTTCAGGTATTTACCACATTGGATTTGATTGATCGACCTTAGTTTCAGTATCCATCGTTACCGATTTCCATATCCGTCGACACAAGTTTTTGTATCTATTGGGTCTCGGTCCAGGATTTGCTCCCCCCCACCATATGGCATGGTGTCCAGCTCCCCCCCCATGATGAATACCCCCCCGTGGTGGGCTGGTGTGGTGTGGTCTGTTTACGCACGATGTCCTGGATTAGTATTGAGGCGGGGCGGCGGTGACGAGGGCGATGGCGGTGACAGCGGCGGCGGGGAAGATGACGACGACGATGACGACGACGGTGACGACGACGGCGGCGACGGCAGCGACGACGACGGCGAAGATGAAGACGACGACGACGACGATGACGATGAGGATGACAATCGACGACGACGACGACGACGACGACAATGACGACGACGATAATCACAGCGCTACTTTTGCTGACAAGTAGACTGGAAAGGAGGCATGAGGAAAGAGAAAGAAGAGGAAGGCAAGGCTGTCCCAGGCCGAAACTTATAGGCATCCGGCATCAGAAATCTGTCGTTGTCTGCGAATGCGAACGGGTTCATTATCAATCGGTTTTAGGGGTGTGACAATTACAATGGAAATATAGTTTCTGTATAAATCATTATTGATTATATAAGTACCGTTTTACCGTCAGCGTTTCAATTGGATTCGGTTTTTTGTTTGATACGCAAAAGCGTGGTCGGGATGAATATCTGCACCGATCGTTTCAAATATGCAATCCGTGTACAATTGTGTAAACCACGGCTTCCCGGAAAAAAAAACACTGACTGAGAACAGCCGTTTGCAAAATAGTTGGTTGATTATGGAATCTATGCACGACAATGACATGTTTCGGCACGGTGACGATGTGCATTTACATTAAAGCGTGATTTCGGAAAATGAATTCTCATAAATTTGACGAGGCGGCGGTTCCTTTGGTGGGAGAATAAATTGTCATGAGAAAAGGAAACGGAAAACAATAAGGAAAAGAGATTGAGAAGAAAAGGAGGAAACATACGAATCCATTTGCAAGTAAGACTCGACCGAAAAAATTATCGCAGCACGAGAAGCAATTGTTATAGCAAACTATGGAGAGAGAGAGGAAAAACAAAAAAAAGGCAATGCTAAAGCGCCAACCGATGAATCAACACCACGACGAGAACACAAGAGAGCCACCAAATAACACGCACAGCGACATGATCACTGATTGAATCCAACTGTCAGAGATCACACAAAAGCTTGGTGTGACATTCCCAAATATATTGGATCTATATAACAATTCTAAATCAATAACGTCGATACCAAAACCTGTACACAATACCGAAACCGATCGTCGATCTTGAATCCCGTGTTGCCGTAAAAAGATAGTTGGATCAATTGGCCTGAGCAGGCATCTTTCAGGTGGCACGCGAAGCGTATCGGCAGGATACACCTTCCGCCGTTTAGTTGCGAATAGTTTGGCACGACAATTTGCACCGGCCTTCCTGACTGCAGTGTGGTTGGCAAATGTTGGGCTATGTGAGCACCGTGGCATTGACGTTGCTATCGATGTGTTCCGATATATGTGTCTATCTATATAGATCCGACGCATACCCCACAAAAGTCGTAGTCAGCATCGATGGGGTGGGCGTTTTCGACTACATATGTCGCAACCAAATGTTTGAGCAGTTGATGGGAATCATGTATGCTTCGCACGTGAATGATTCGGATACAATCTAAATTTCTTTGGAGATATTGGGGAAGCGTGACGCAATTCATACGTCAAGGCGATGACGGGGAATAAGGCAACGTGTTGATGTCAACTCTGTTTTGTTTCGCCTTCCACCTTGCCCTTATTCGCATTTGCTGCCTTCGTGACGCCAAATCGTATTGCGTACTAATCAATGCCGGGGGCGTTTGGGTTATTAATATTTCGACGACGTATGCTTCACATGTGATGGGACGCAGTCGGAACAGTAAGGTAATACGGAATATGTTTGGGGTTAATTAACGCTGATTTGGACAAATTTGCTTTATACGGGAGCGCATGCTCATTTCGTATGACATTCAACGACTGCGCTAAATGCTTGGCAATGTGACCGAACCCTTGGAAGGTAGATTGTTTTCGGATGTGAATGATGACCACAGTTCTCCTCTCTACACGTTGCTTAATTTTTTTCCTCCGCGCAGCGCCGCACACACACCTCGAAATGCCAATGGCTAAGTGGGACTGGGGTGAAACACGTTTTTGCGTAGCCCGGGGATGGCTAGGCAGACAAGGAAGAAGAGGAGGAGGAGGAGGAAGAGGAGGAGGAAGAGGAAGAGGAAGAGGAGGAGGAGGAGGAGGAGGAGGAGGAGGATGTATGAATGAATGAACAGCGCCTCGAAAAGTCGGGAGGTGACAGCACCAAAAGCCTGCTGAGCCCAGGCTCAGACGCGCGCGCCGCCGCGGCCGCGGCGCGCCGCGGGCCGCCGGGCGCTCACGGCGGGCGGGCTCCCCACAAACGGGCAGCACGGGGATGGCAGGACCAGCTCCCCCGCCACGTTCTGTCGGACGGACAACACCCCAGCCGGAAAACACCCGGCCCCCGACAGAACGGACAGGGGCCGGGCCCCACCAAACCCCCACCACCCACCCCAAAGGCCCGTAACGACACGACATACGACGACAGCGACGGCGACGACACGGGAAGACGGACCCCTAGCCACGACTCCCACGGGGGACACCTGGCTGGGTAGCCAGGCTACCGTGGGAGACTGCGTGGCCGGGGAGCCCCCGGGAAGGGGACCCCGCTTTGGGGGCCATCCCGGGCGCGGGGTCTTTTCCCCCGAAGGCCCGGCGGTCCCCGCCTCCGCCAAGGAGCGCTTTGGCCCGACACCCCACTTATGAAGGTGCCCATCCGGGGCGGAGGAGGAGGAGGAGGAGGAGGAGGAGACTCTGGAGACTCTGCCTGATCGCGTAGCGATATGAAAATGAGGAAATTACACTTCCGCCACCCCAGCTGGGGTGTTGTGGGCTCTGGAGGCCTTCTCAGCTCGACTGAGGGCCTTCGGCCAGAGCCCCTTGGAAATACGCTTGAGGTACTCCTGCCCCGAAGGGGTGAGCTTACCGCAGGGTTCCCCGAGTTTCCCGAGAACCAACTGCGTGGAACCGAGAACGGTGGGTACTGTGTACAAGCTCCCCCGCGACATGGACCGACTTCCCAAGAGGGACCTCCTTATAAGTGCCGTCTACTTTGTTAAGCTCAAAACATTCGGTGAGGAGCCAACGAGACCTCGAGGCTTTGCTGGAGGAACTAAAGCACCTAGTGCATTGAAAGCCTGTGGGGTCCACAGAGTGCTGGGAGCCAAAAAGGGCACAAGAGCGAGGGGCAGGCGGTCGGTCGGCCTTAAACGCAACCCGCCTCTTAAGGCGATGCTCCCTCTGACACTGCAATTCTTCACGCTTCGTGTATCCCCACCAGCCCATCTCAAAACAGCAACTCTAGCGAAGCATGCCGACAGTCGTGTTTTTCAGGCGTGTTTCCGCCTGCCCCCGCATATTTCCCCTGTTCTTTCTTCCTCCCGCCTCCTTGTACATTCTCCTTGTGGTGAGAGCGGGAGAAGGACGAGGCGGAGGAGGAGGGAGAGAAAGCGCTCCTCGTGGTTTGAGTCGTTCGGGCTTCTCGTCCTGGTGTGAGTCGTTCGGGCCCTTCTTCCTCGTGTGAGTCGTTCGTGCTCTTCGTGGTGTGAGTCGTTCGGGCTCTTCGTCCTGGTGTGAGTCGTTCGGGCTTCTCGTGGTGTGAGATGTTCGGGCCCCTCGTCCTGGTGTGAGTCGTTCGGGCCCTTCCTCCTGCCCGTCCAGAAACGACGCCCAGGCGAGTAGAGGGTCGTCTTGATGGGCTTTTCGGCGTCTTGGGTGCCTCGGGGGAGCCTTTGTGGGCCGTTTGGGATCCTCTTGGGGGCCTCCTGGGAGCCAAAAAGGGCACAAGAGCGAGG